TTGTTATACCGAAGAAGAAATTTATTTCTTCGGTTTGTATATCCAAGAAGGAACTTGGACTTCACAAACTTTATTTAACTTTGCCCGCACATCCGTTCATACCTTAGAGCTAACTCGTATTGCTAACTCTCTGAATTATTATTATAATTATAATATATTATATATTTCCTATATATACATATATCCTATGTTCTATATTATTTCCTATTTTTGTATTATATTTGTATTATATTTTCCGCATTCGTAGTTTTCTTTATCTTTAACTACGCTATCGCACGTTTCCTTTTATCCCTATTTCTCTCCTTTCTTTTTTTCAATCCCTTTTCTCTCTCTTTCCAAAATTTCCACAGTATATATCTCTTTTTATCTAAATCCTCTATCCGTTATATACCTGCGTACATTTTTGGGCGAGCTTCCCATATTTCTTCACTCGAGGTGATAGCAGTGAGTAACTGCGCGTTTTAGTGTTAGAAAAGTACAAATATATTATTTTATATGGAAGTAATAAAATACTAGCTTTTTTTAAACGGTTAAAGTTGAAATTCAAGTACAGATGGAACTGTTCGATAAATTCGCTGTAATAATCTGGGATTCCAGAAAGACCTTGCCCGTGTAACACGTGGCACAGTTACGAATAATGCGAAAATTCCTTTGGCCCGTGTTTATCTCGTAGCGATACGAGAGGTCCTCGAATAGGACGTAGATAAATCAAAGGCATTTCGTAATCGAGAATCGAAGAATGTTGTGTCCTCGCGCGTTAGAAATCAATGAAGAATTTTATCTGCGTATGGTGTGCAAAAACAATGAGGGATGGAATAATACCGGGGGGGGGGGGGATGGAAGAGATAGGTTTCTTTTCAGCACATCAACCAAGTGCTCCGGTGACATGGGGTCTTCGGAACTATCCTTAACTGTCCTACAAATCCAGGCAAAAGGACAAGCGGGCTGCAAGGCAGGCGACCATGTGTCCCATCACCGATCTTATTCATTGCTAATCCGGATAACCTTGATTTTCGGTGCTGGTCGCCTTCGTACCGGCCGCCTCGGAATATATCTGCCACACTTTTTTTTATCGCCGAGCATCTATCTGCGACCAGATCGACGGTGCGATCATCGAGATCAACCTCAGAAATAAACCTCAAAACGTGAATCTTGATCACTCATCACTTGGCTACCTCAAAGGGAAGATCATTAAAGATTTATCACGAATGAAGATCAACAATGTGACAATTTAAGACAATCTAAGATAATAGTCTTGATGACAAGACAAGAGTTTTGAATTATGTATTTTATTGGAAAACCTGAGGCTTCTTTTAGTTTGATTCGTTATTTTGTCCCCTTTTTATCAACTGTTCAAACATATATAAGTAGATGTGGTAAGGAATATGAGTTTATGCCGGTTTATATTTCAATTCGTCCTTCATTGCTGTCGAGTACTTGACAAAAGTGTGTCATCGCGCTGCCTATCTCACTTTTATCAGCTTTGCTTCTTCTCGTTCTGCAATAACGAATCACATTTACGATTTCCTTTTTTATTTTGGCATTTAATAAAACAATTTACTAATCAGATTCAACATCAATTCATCATATTCTATTAATCATATTATACAGAAAAAAGTCATAAATTAAGATATATTCTATTATAAGCAAGAATATTATAATATTTTCAGAAGAATTGATCTTGATTTGATTGATTTATTTTGATTTGTTTTGAATTTCTATTAATGCAAGTATAGAAATTCTCATATATAAGCAAGAATGTAATCTTTATATGGAAGATTTTTAATCTCGAATTAAGCAAAAGTAATATTTACATCAATATCAATTCAATCAAATCAAAGCAAAAACTTTTAAGAAGATTATAATAGTGTTTATACATGAGAAAAAAAATTTGTCTTAATTTAAGGCTAATTTTTTTTGTTTCGATTATCCGTAAATATTTACAGATGAGATGTAGGAAGTATAAAGAGATGATGAAATAGAAAAAGAAGATTAATCTCGCTTTTGAAAATATATTGAAAATTGAAATTGAGAGACTTGAAATTTATCGAAATTTCCACTTGACGCTGAATCTTGAATTTTATCGCATTCTCGCAGAAATCTATGGAAAGTGGCGTTTCGTACGGATTTCCGCGTTAATCGAGCGCCGAGCTGCGAGAGAGATCGCGTACGAAAGCGAAATGAAAAATCGCCCCGACGACGACGGGACGACGACGACGACGACGACGACGACGACGACGACGACGACGACGACGACGACGACGATGACGATGACGACGACGACAGTGGCGGCGAGCTTCCGGCCATGACTCGCAAACGGAGAAGAGGGCTTTCCCGTTATGCGCCTCGTCTCTAGAGTTGATTTGGCGAGCTGGAGGCGGCGACGACGGCGGCGGCGGCGGCGGCGGCGACGGCGGCGGTGGCAGAGAGGCCGGTACCGCTAGCTTCCCAGAAATCGACTCTCGATAATACCACTCGATACGGATGAAGTAATCTCTCTACTGTCGCGGCGAGTGAGAGGGAAAAAATCGCGGCACTGACCGGTGGGGGAGCCTGTGTCACGCCGTGCGTTCCCCGGAGAACAAGCGGGAGGGCCCGGTAGAGAATAGGGGCACATACGCACCACCATAATTCTTATGCTCTATACATTAATTTGTACAAATTTGAAGTGTGACTTTCATTAATTTGTATGAATTTTTGAAGAACTTGTCATACTTTTTTGTCATTAAATTAAATTTATTTAAATTTATTTTTTTTTATTTATATATCTTCCTGCTGCAAATTAATCTATTGCGTTCTTAATCAGAAGCTAACTTTTATTTTTCTTGCTTGATTTTCTTTACGAATCGTGTCAGAAACGGAAAGTGTAAATTTTCAGACCGCAGGTAGCAAGCAGGTCGCACGGAATGTTTTTGTAGAAGAGTATTTTCTGTTTTCACAGAATAGGAAATGTGAAGATGATAATCTCGGGTTTTCTTAGGACGATAATTTTAATTTTTAAACGTTCTTCCTCATTCCGTTACATATATATAGATACATATATGATACATATATTATCCGTCTGCTCTATTGTTCTAAAGAGCATTTAAAGATTGATGAAACTTGCTTGTTTTCCGCGTAAACAATGTTTGTAAACTAATATGGATGAAATTAATATGGATGAAAGGAAAAGAAGACATCGTTAGAATTGTATATTTTACTTCCTTCTCGTCGAAACGCATTCGCAATTGTCTCGGTTACATAACGGCCATTCAGCGTCCTGCTGAGACGCTGATTTTGGATTCAAGATCGACCGATTGATTTTTCTCGATGAGAAAAATCGATCCAGACGTAAACAATGTCTGCCGCCCCAAACAAGCGTGACCAGCGGAGGAAAAGTTTCACAAAAATGACGATCGCTACACGTATAATAAACTATTTATAGCTTTGCAATGTCAAAACGGAATATAATAAAGTATAGTCTTGTAAATGTAAGATACCCGCTTATTTTAGCTTCCATTATGCTGTGAGGTGATGGAAAATGATGAATAATTTATTGCATTCTGCCGATCCAGGGGAAAAAGCCATATAATTTGTACGGTCAAGTTTCGATAATGAAAACGGAAAGTCGCGACTCGCTTTTCACTCTCATTTTTCTCTGTACGGAACCTATAGGAGAATTATAATACAGCCCCGTCGCGCAATTCTGTGAATGTGTGTGTGTGTGTGTGT